AATAAAGCTATCAAGCTAATCATCTTTAACAGTGTTCATTGTGTGTTTTGTCTCTTTCTTGGCAGATTAATTACACTCCAGATACTACGTTATTTACGATCGTTGCGAAAGGGCAAACACCTGCTTCAAGCGAACGACCGACGAAGCCAAACAGTGCCTGCTACGACAGGTAGAGATTCGTCATCAGCTTTTCAGAATAGGTGAACCCACCTGGGAGGAGATTTATAGGCAGTAAAATAATGAAAACAAACATACTCAAAGAACAAATACGTCTCATGTAGAAATAGGTACACTTTTCAATAGTCACAAACTTTTATGGAAAACTATTTTGATTTTTAAGAGAATGGAAAGACTGATGGGGAGTTACCACCGTGTCACTGTCATGCTGGTTAGCGATGCCAGTAAATTTGAATAATAATTTTGAAAGCAGCTGATCAGGATCAGGGGGCAGATCCAGGATTGTATACTCTTCAGGATAGTGCTTTTTTTTTACACTTTTAGAATGGTAAATTAACAGAATAATTCATGAATGTTAAAGAAAAATAAGATGTTTTGAGGACTGATATTTATGAGTGTGACCAATTTGGTCAAGACCACCCAAAAAAATCTGGATCTAGTGGATTTGACTGTGGTTTCATAAGATTCCTGCTGGGCCTTGGCAGATGTATGTGTTCTCCGAATGCCATTTTTAAATATCATGATTATCGTTAATACCAGTATACTGCAACAGCCTTGATACAGAGTCGCAACATCTGGATTTTCCATGGTGTGCTACACATCTGTAGATTACTTCCCACATAAATGTCTCCCATCTCACTTTATTTGACAGTGGCAATGTTTTCTTTTTGAAGCTGTTTGTGGATTCATACTGTGGATATTAACTGACAGTGTCACTCACCACAGGCTGTGGTTGTGTGTAGCATAGCTTCAACATATCAAACATACACGGGGTGGTCCTGGTGGCTAAAAGGGGCTTTAACTTCAGCTATAAACACACAAACAATAGTAACAGATGTAGCTGCTGGTGGTCGTATGGACGGAGTTCAAAACACAAGTCATGTTAAATACAGCTCGTACCCAGCTATGAATAAAAGTTGGTGGTGTTGCAATGATATGCAGTTATTGTAGGCTGCGTAGCGTGAGTTAACAGTTCCTGGTGACTCAGTGGCTTTGACTTCCTCTATTAATATGTGTGGTCGTCGCACCAGGTTAGACACTTTAAAAACGCACCAACTCTGATTCACTGAGTAACCTCAACTCCTTTTGGTATTTCAGAGAAACAGCTCACTGCACAGGAGGGAAAACTCATAAAGAACATGTCATTTACAGGCTGTGGTTGCTGTGCACCCATACAGTAAACAGAAACACTTACCTTAGAAAAGGAAAAGAAAGGGTTTTATTCTAAAATGTGAAATTAATTGCTGGTTTAAAAATCAGGGCCATTACTGATAACGATTATTCCCACAGCACGAGGTGAGCTCTAAATAGGCTTGGCCTGACTTACAATCTTTAACCCAAAGACGTATTAGAACAGAGGGAAAAGTAGCAAAAGCTCACATTTAATAAACTACTAGCATTTTGTTCTTAATCATTTCTGATCACTAGACCAAATATTAATTTAACTTAATCTCCTGTGGCTCCTTGTGATGATACAAATCCTGTAACGATTCCATATTATTATAGATTCCTCTGAAAGGTGATCAATGATGTGTACGTCCACAAGATACATTAAAAAGTGACCTTCATTCAAGAATCTGATTTTAACCTTTTACTTTGTTCAAATGGTTAAATAGACCAACATTGTAAGTAGCATTAGTGACCAGTCCAGTGTCTTCATACGACATATATAATTGTATTTGTACTATAAATAGAGGCAGCATTTTTGCAGTGTTACAAGTAGTTGTAGTAAGAGGTGTCTGGCATAGTTTTATATGAAGCCACGTCAGCTGTGATTTACTCTCTGGCGTGTAGCCCCAGAAAGAGTTCGGAAACACACACACACACACACGCACACAAGCAGAATGAAAAGCCCCAACTCTACAGGAACTGCTCCAGCCCAGACAGGGGCTGAATTGTTTTGTTTCCATAGTGACCTGGCATCACACAGCTGACTGCAGCATGAGTACACACAGACAGACATGCACACACGCGCACACACACACAAGACAAAGACAGGCACTCACACATTACAGTGGATGGACTGATAGCTGGACAGAGGGACATACAAAGGGAGGAGAAGAGATATGTAGTAGGGAGAACAGGAAGGGAGAGACGGTAAGACAGAGCTGAGGGATGGAGGGAAAGAGGAAGAAGGGAAATAGGAGACGGCTCATAGAAAAGAAGAAAGAGAAGGACAGATAAGCAAATGCAAAACAGAGTGAAGGGAAAAAGATGTGTGGGCGGAATTAACTGAACCAAAACACTTTCACTGATTTCACCATATAGCCTTTATCCCTGCCTCAGCAAAGGATCGTCTTTCCAGAATCATGTTGTTCATTGTTCTTGACTACACAGGCTTCACCCTGTCCCTATCAAACCATATGAACCCTCTGTGCACAGCGAATAATCTCATCAGTCACACGGGCAGAAACATGACACCTTAAGATGGGCTGGAACTTCAAACTTTTTTCTTCACAAGCAGCGTAGGTGGAGAAAACTTCAAACTTTAAGAGGACAAGTCGTCCAGCTCCCTCCCCCCATCTGCCTCTAGGTTTCTTGCTCTGTGTTCACATGAAAGTGATAGATCTGGGGCTTTATGACCTCTTTATAGACACAAAGACTGCATTGAGAGCAGGGCAGAAAGAGAGAGTGAACCAGCCCTCCACTCATCACAACACCCTTTCTTCAGCCCTGAACTTCCACTCTTTACACCCCCACAGAATCTGCCTTTTTCTTCCCCCCTTTTTTTTCTCTCAACTTTCTCCCTTTCTAAGTTGTGGTTTTATCTTCCTCCACCCTGCTCATACACGGATGTACACCAACCATTCACGATGCTGGACACCGCTAACCGCAGGGCCACCTGGGGTTCTGACTGGCCAATGACAATGTGGTAAAAAGAAAAAAAGGCAGTTTTTCTCACCCCACTCGATCAATTATGGAAACATAGACCCTTCAAAAACCCATCTTTATGCACATGTGCACACAGACACGCACACACAAACACAGGGGGGGGCTAAATTCACTCATACGACAGTTACTGACATCAATGAGCAACTGCTGCTTGATTGTTACCATATGGTTTTTCCAACTTCTGTGTGTGTGTGTGTGTGTGTGTGTGTGTGTGTGTGTGTGTGTGTGTGTGTGTTCAGTATTCCTAGAGGAACAACATTTCAACACAGCTCTACTAACCTCACAATGTGGAAATGGGAATCTCCCCAATTCTGCAAAGGCTACAATTTGTGTTTCACAGTAACAGAATCTAATCTAAGTATAGTAAAGAACTATGCTAATATAGAAGTTTACCTTCCAAACACTATCTTGGATTTGAAAACACATAATGTATATGATTGAGTTACTTTTCGAGCCATCACTTACAGTGGGTGAACACGCGGTGCATTTGTCGAAGGCCAGGCTGGCAGGAAGGACGTTGTCGAACCTCGCGAGAAAACCTCGGATCTGTGGAGGAGAGATCAACCAGTCAAAACTGAAGTGACACAGAGGAGCAGAATCACTCCTCAACAATTACATATGTAACAAAACCACAATCACGTTATTTTTAAAAACAGAACGTTTAATATCACGGTAACATCACGACAAAAAAGTCTAACCCACAATCAGAAGAAAGAGGGTTTTTTTAAGTCTCTTATTTGTGAGTATTCTTGACACAAAATTAAAAGTAAATGTAAATATAAAGCAGAGGCATGGTTCTAAACCTCCTGTCAGATATTTAAAAATCAGGAAGCAGTTTAGAGTTTCTCTGTATTTCACATTTCAAAAATCATGCAGAGAGCGCCCTCTGGTGCCAGAGAGGCATGCAAACCTTTTTCTGTGAAACATCATCATCACATCTCTCACTCCTGAAAGCCTTCGCTCCTATTTAAGGCTTCAGTAATTATGGCTAATTACTTCAGTTATTGACCAAAGAGCCCATTGTACACAAACACGGACACACACTCACAAACCTCTGTTGCAACACGTGATGAAACACCACTCATAATCACCAGTATATTCCACTTTATTTCCCTCCTCGCATATGTTCGCATCCTTCGGTTAATAAAAGCTTCACCCATTATGTTTTCTGGTGACGCACGTCGACCAGAAGATGAAATTACTTCCTACTTTAATTATCTGGTGGTGAAACTGACAATGTATCAAACATTTGTGACCAATTACCACACAAAGCACACGGAGTGAATGGGGGAGGGTAATTAAAAGCTTTCAGTTCTTGTGCTGGGATATTTTGGTGCAAACTACGTGACATTTCTTTCACCCAGGTTTTAATTATTGAATATTTCTGCATGAGGCCAGAGTTGCACAAGCCCAGTTTGTGTGGCCACGTGAGGATGTATCACCTTGCAAAACATTTCAATTTACAAAACAAGCTTGTTTTGTTATGCTCCTTTTTTTTATTCATTTCTTCTCGTCTTAAACTATTTTAGTTTAATTAAAATGTTCTAGGACAAAGAGGAACGAAAAGGCAGACGGGGGATTTGAGAGATAGTACAGATACAAAATGTACAGTATATGATAAGAAAACTGCAACAGCAAACGTGTTCAGTGAATAAATACAAAAATGAAGGGGTGAGTGAATGAGTGACTCAGACCAGTGGGAGAGCATGGGCAAGTGAGATGAACCTGAATGGATGAGTGGCCACACATAAAACAAAATGCACTGTCTATGGAGAGACTCTTTTGTACTAAAGGCCTCCAGGTATGTGAACAAACATGTCGCATCTCCAGCTTCTGTTCTCGTCTCGCTGTAATTTCTCAGACAAATCAATCAATATCATTAATGCAAGGAAATGAAAGACAGTTGATCACAGTCCAAAAACATACAGGCTGGGGTTTGGATAATTGGAGACTGTACATGTGAGTGTGAATGATTGTTTGTCTCTGTATGTTGGTCCTGTGACATGATGACGACCTATTAAGGGTGTACCCCACCTCTCATCCAATGTTAGCTGGGATGACCCAAGGCCCCATTTCACAGACTATTAATCAAAAACATTATGCAGTTTCTATAAATCACCACAAGTTGTCACTGTGACACCACAGAAAACACAGGTTGCTGCTTCAAACCACTGAGCTGCAGTGAAATGTGATATCAGGCGATTGCTGGCAAAATATACAGAAACACACATTCACCCTCTCATGCATATTATTCACTCTGCATTTCTCTCTGGTGATCATTCTCTCATCCCCTTGCATCAGCACAGAGCATCTATTTGCATGTCATTCTTATCAGAAATATGTTGGCTGAAATACAATGAGGAGCAGAGGTGTTGAGCAAATGGCAAGATGCAGATTCTCAGGGTGATGAATACTGATAATGCAAATGGAGGTGGTGAGATAAGTACATGACAGCGATCAGAAAGCATGAGGACACAGTTTGGTTGGCTGTGGTCTTCCTTTATTCACTGACCATCCCAGTCCAGAGCATATGATCATTATTTCAGTTATGCTTTGGAAAGAATTCCTGTGATATGTTTTTTTGACTGTATTTTTGGTCCTTGGCAATCATGGGAACATAAGAGGCACATATCCGACCTCATGCTAAATAAGTACACATATTTTATTAGACTGTCAAATTAATAACAACTAATGAATCAGTGGGAAAGCCAATGACCAACTAAGTTTATAAATTCAATCTCTTCCTTCATCCATAGTTGTCTTGAAAAATGGACATAAAAACAGTAGCCACACAAGGACAGACAAAAACATGCACAGAAGTATTGTCTCCTGAGAGTAGTACTCCAACCATTTCACTTATTATGTTCATGTTTATATATTGAGCCATGAATTTTCCTCACTATAGAACTGATCGACCTTTCAGGTTGAATTAATATTGTTCTCCACAACAGAAGTACTTCAAATCTCAAATCTACTTCAAAATGGTTGTAGAGAGCCACAAGACTTTATCCTTGGTAAAAATAGGGAAAAAAAAGAAAAATTATGTAAACCCTTTAGAGTCAGCTGGTGTTGGTCAACACATTGTGTTTAATC